TCTCTCTCTCTCTCTCTCTCTCTCTCATCCCTTCATTCCCATGCTTTCCCATTCTGATCGTATTGTCAATTTGATTCGTTCTTACTGCTATTCCTTTCTGTTTTGATTCTAAGTAGCATGTTGTGAATTCATACATTTTGCAGTAATCATTGTCATCATTGTTGTGAAGGTCAACATCTTTGTTGTAGCATACAAAGAAAATAAGAAAGGAAGTAGAAGTCCCGTTAATATGGAAAGAGCGAAAACCATCAGGTTTGATGCTCAACAACTTCAGACTACAGCAAATAATTTTACCAACTTGTTAGGTTCGGGAGGTTTTGGTGCAGTTTATAAAGGGATATGTGGCAATGGAGTCCTTGTGGCTGTGAAGGTTCTAAATGGGAGCTCGGACAAGAGAATTGAGGAACAACTCAAGGCGAAGTTATAACTGTTGGAAAAATTCATCGGGTCAATCTGGTCCGTCTTTATGGTTACTGCTTTGAGAGAAACCTCAGAGCACTGGTTTATGAGTATATGGAAAATGGCTTGCTTGACAAGCTCTTATTCGATAGCAACGAGGCTTTAATATTTAAAAAGCTTAATGAAATTTCGGTTGGGACAGCCAGAGGCATTGCGTACTTGCATGAAGAATGCCAACAACGCATAATCCATTATGATATAAAACCTGGAATTGTTCTTTTGGATCAAAATTTCCTTCCTAGAGTTGCCGATTTTGGTTTGGCCAAGGTAAGTAACAGGGACAATACTCATATATCGATGACAGGAGGGAGGGGGGACTCCTGGTTAAGCTGCACTGGAACTTTGGCTGCAATTCTCTGTAACTCCCAAATGTGACGTCTACAGCTTTGGGATGCTATTGTTTGAGATCATTGGTAGGAGAAAGAACCATGACATCAATCTTCCTGATAGCCAAGAGTGGTTCCCAGGTTTGGTGTGGAAGAAGTTTGAATCCAAAGAGCTAGGAGAGTTAATGGTAGCTTGTGGGATAGATGAAAAAGATAAAGAGATAGCAGAGAGAATGGTAAACGTAGCTCTGTGGTGTACTCAGTATAGGCCGGAGTCGAGGCCTTCGATGAGCGGTGTGGTAAAAGTGTTGGAAGGAGATATTGAGATTCCCAGACCTACAACTAACCCTTTTCAGCACTTTGATTCCAGGCAATCCATACCCTAATGCACCTATCTACAATTCTTCAGTTGCAACAAATAGTACTTGAGCTTTGGATTCAGAGTTATCCCATACTGTAACTGGATATAGCGGTGTGTGCGCTACTCCTCTCATGAGGAAATATGAGCTGGAAATAGCGTCTACCTAGGTAAGCCGATGTAAATCCCTCATGGTCTCTCTCTCTCTCTCTCTCTCTCTCTCTCTCTCTATATATATATATATATATGTATATATTGTGAAGGGTCATATATCTGGAATTGTGAACAATAATTAATACTAGTGTGCCAACTTTTTGTTTGATTAAAATACAGTTACTCTATTCTTTCTACAAGGAGCTGCATAAACCTTTACTGATTAGTTTCATGGAAAAGTACCTTCTTTGGCCTATAAATTATATGGGACAGAAAACTGGTGTAGCCATGTCGATTTTTAATTTCTTCCAGTCATACTCATAGGATTGTATCCGCCACAAAAAAAAAAAAAAATCTCTTTGTTCATTCGCACCAGAAATTTCCAACTCTGTGATGTTGCTCCTCATTTCACTGACTAATGGTTGCTGAATTACATGACCAAAGAAAAAACCGACTCTACTGACTTGGATTGACTGGAGTTAATCATGCTCGTTGCTCAATCTGAAGCATGAATGCATTTGCGAGGCTGTGAGAGGCCGGGTGGCCTACCTGTGGATTGTCAGTCAACGGACAATGTTGCCTCCCTTGTCAGAAAAATGGACGTTGACATTCAAGGTTTGCAATCTTACCCGTAATTCGGCAGATTTCTTTTTTGAAAGCGTGATCTAGACAGACTAGTCATTCAAGGTTTAGCAAAGTAAACATAATCATAATAGAAACAGGTATCAGAGTCAAATTTTCCAAACCATGCACATTAATGTAAGGTCGCCTGCTACTTTAAAAATGTGCTTTGCAACACTTGTTCTCTATCATCACTTGTTCTTTAAATTTTATTATTAACGGGACGGGTGAGAGTCAAACTCTTACTACACTGGTAAATTGCTCATGCCATGAGTTTCTCGAACCTAAACTCTTGACTCTGACCTTAGGATGAGCCCTAGAACTTGGAGATTCGTTGCCCCCATCACCAAGAAAACCTCTTTGTGCGGGTTGACCAAGAAAATCTGTATGATGGTTTTCTACCTAGGACATTTCCTTGTAACGAGACTAGGCCGTTTGTCGTTGGCAATGTTTCCGTTCTTAGCTGTTTCCTTATCGCTCCGGATAGTCGAGAGGGAAGTTCTGTCTGTTTGCTCATATACAGCCAAGAAGGGATACAAAGCAAGGTTTTGGATCTTTTAATATGGTCTTAATGCTCTCTTATTTAAGTTTATTTTTAGCCGGCCTCGTTATCTCATCCTCGTCAAGAAATACCCCACACGCTTTCATTAATCGTATATCCATCGAATCATGGGAAATTAAGGATAACATTGACATATAAAAAACGTAACGGAGACTTCACCAAACTTTAACTCTTTGTTCTTTTGTACTTAATCTTTCTCTCTAATGCATCTTCTCATGTGTAATTATCTGAATTCTGCTATTAGTCTCTTGCACATTTGAGAGTTTGTTGAATGCTTTTCATAACTCTATTGAAATCGGTCTACCTCCTCTCGTAATGTCGAGTTACCAGAGTTCACCGCCACCTTCAAATTCTGGAGCGACAGCAGTTATTGTTGTTAGCTTGGGTAAAGATATATCTCACTCCCCGTTTCCTTTCTTTTCCGCATTACATTTTTTTTTCTGAAGTTGATAATGGTTTTTCATCAATGCGTTTTGAATTTTTCCAGTAGTGATCTTGGTGAAGATCGTTATCGTGGTGGTCGTTTGCATGAAAAGGAATCAGAGAGGAGCTCTGTTAATCCAGACTTTCTGACGCTCACAATGAACAAGTTTCTAAACGATATGGAAAGAGAGAAGCCCATCAGGTTCACTTCTCAACAACTTCGCATTGCGACTGATAACTTCACCAACCTGTTGGGCCAAGGAGGTTTTGGTGCAGTTTATAAAGGGATATTTAGCAACGGAACCCTTGTGGCCGTTAAGGTTCTAAATGGGAGCTCAGACAAAAGAATCGAGGAACAATTCATGGCGGAAGTTAGTACAATCGGAAGAATCCATCACTTCAATCTGGTCCGTCTTTATGGATTCTGCTTTGAGAAACACCTCAGAGCACTTGTTTATGAGTACATGGGAAATGGATCGCTTGACAAGTACTTATTTCGTAGCAACGCGGTGCTCTTAGGATTTGAGAAGTTACATGAAATTGCTGTTGGGACGGCGAGAGGGATCGCTTACTTGCACGAAGAATGTCAACAACGAATAATCCATTACGATATAAAACCTGAAAATATTCTTTTGGATGCAAACTTCTTTCCAAAAGTAGCTGATTTCGGTTTGGCCAAGTTGTGTAACAGGGACAATACTCACATAACCATGACAGGGGGGAGAGGGACTCCGGGTTATGCTGCACCGGAAGTTTGGCTGAGGTTTCCTATAACACACAAATGTGACGTGTACAGCTTTGGAATGCTATTGTTTGAGATCATAGGAAGGAGAAGGAATCTGGACAACAATATTCAAGATAGCCAAGATTGGTTCCCGAGGTGGGTATGGAAGAAGTTTGAACCGGGGGAATTAGGAGAGCTGATGGTAGTTTGTGGAATAGAGGAGAAAGATAAAGAGAGGGCAGAGAGAATGGTAAAGGTAGCTCTGTGGTGTGTACAGCATATGCCCGAGGCAAGGCCTTTGATGAGTGCCGTGGTTAAAATGTTGGAAGGTGCAGTTGAGATTCCTACACCTTCAACTAACCCTTTCCAGCACTTGATGCCGGTCGCTCCATACCCTACTGCACCTGTCTATGATACTTCAAATCCAACATATAGAACCAGCACTTTTGGTTCGGATCCTTCTCAGACTGTTACTGGATATAGCGTCGTACGTGGTACTCCTATCATGAGGAGATATGAGATTGAAATAGCGTCTACCTAGGCCGGAACTGCATCTGCTCATCCTGTTGTGCGGATTGCTGAGAATAAATGTATACTAGTGCATGTAAAGCAACTCCTTTTTCACGGCAAACTACTCCATAATAATTATTTCCATTTAGAGTCAAAGTAAAATTTATATCATCCTGATGTGAATGTTTATAGAATTTTTAGTTCAGAGGTCCAGGATTTCTTCAAGTGACGCAGTTTAAACATTGAATTCGGTGGCAGCTACTGATTATTTATTTCCATTCCTCGATTTACCGCATCGATTTTCGTCTAATCCATAAGTACGATTGCGAAATGTTTAGGGTTAAACTATATTAGATTAAACTGTCTCAAACCGTCATATCCATATAACAATACCAACTCTGGAAATTTGGATCAAACTAACTAGCAATCTTACTTGCAGGTTTCCAGTCGCGTACCTATAGCTTTTGCTGTGGATTTAGTTTTGTACTAGTAATAGGCCAGCGCGCTGCTGCGGGACTTGAATGCACAGCCTTAACAACATGAATAAGACACATTTAACATGAAAAAAATTCAACATAATCATGAACGAACAAAAGGGATAGCTGAGTGAACAGTGTTTGTAAGTAAAACAGCTTAGCTTTTATATACATTCAACCAAGCTGATTACAAAAGATGTGATTGTAAAAAATGTTCTGCTTCCCTGAGAAACAAAAGCAACATGCATTTTACACATATAAGACATCTGATATTAAACCTAAAATCATGTAATTCTGTATGAAGTGGAGAATAATGCAGAAAGATGGTTTTCTATAGTGCTGCCAATGACAATTAATTTCTCATGAAAAAAAAGAAAAGAGAAACACAGGTATAAAAGAATATTATTTTTTATAGTTGCAAACATTATGAATTCCAAAAAGAAAAACTACAGATAACACTTCAATCACAGATCTAAGCATCTAAAACGTGACAACCCAGATACCATTCAAGACATTGCTCAGCATCATGGATAAACTAACCTATCTGTGTCCCTGTGCTCATTGCATGTCATATACACCCGACCAACTGGGCATAGGAGCATAATGAGGAAAACTTTCAGCACCACTCTGTACCTGAAAAATGAGGGAGGAACTAATTAAAGCGTTCCTCACTTAGAATAAATAATGCATGCATAATAGCCAGATGGACATCGCGCATATAAATTGTTGTGGCAATAATTTGCAATAGAAAACGTAGTTAAAAATAAGATATACGAAATACCAACATTGCAATGGTATTTTTTTTATCCATTCGATTGTACTAAAGCATGCATCTTAAATTAGGTACTACGTGAGGTCTCTATAATGAAATGGGAGATTGAATACACTTGAGGAAACTGAAAATTCAAATATGCACACGCTCCATAGTGTATCTTCACAACCAAAAGAAACGTTTATATATACGACATATATTTCACATTGTTTTTCCCCACTCAAATCGTCTTGAGAAAATTTGACTACTAAAAACTACAAAACTTGGATTAAAGAATCAATAGAATAGCATGAGAAAGTTATTATTACACCATACCTGACTTTTTTGCATATAAAAACACCTGTATTTCACCTGATTTTGTAATGAAATACAGATGCTTATAGTTCACCAGTACATAGCTACCTGTCATTTGTTGTCTTCTTCGGGTTCAAGATCCTTATATTGTCTGAGACGTGAAAGAATAAGAAATTGTATACAGTTTGATAATGAAACATGTAATGTGATTATGTGACAACAATGCACTCCTCTCTCAGAGAGATAAACAAAGATATCAAAAACAGAGAGGCAATGTTAAGATAAACAGAAAGGCAATGTCACATTGTTTTGCATGATCTTGAAAATTGGGGATAAGGTATTCAAAGTGCTAACAAACACGTGCAAATGGGGACAAAAAAGGGGATAAATTGAAAAATATATATGCTCTTAATCGAGAACTTCATCAAATAAACAATAAAATCTAATGTAATCTGTCAAAAACCAAAGAGAGTGATAATTTGAAGGCACTATAATGTATTGGGCATCGCATACTTGCGGTATATGATTGATGCATCTGTTGCTCAATCAAATCATTTGCTTGGCTAAAAAAGTTATTTTTACAATAAATAGATTCGCATCCAATTTATGAGAAATTATGCAAAAGTAAATGTAAATGATAACGGAATCATGAATGCGAATAAGAAACACAAACATGCCAAAAAGAAAACCTACTATAGTGTGTCAAGTTACTTGCAACATAATTTTTTATGCCACTATCCATTTCGCAATACTTTAAAAAAAATTCGTTTGAAAAAGCTTTGCTATGATTTTTAGGTTTGGGAAAAATAATACCATAAAAATTAAAAAACAATTACTACAAATCATGGCCTGTTAATAGCAAAATACACTCCTCAACAATGTATATGAACATGTGAGTTGAAAATTTGAAATATTCAACAACTAAAAGAAAGAAGCAAAATCAGAAGAAAAGAAATAGATACTCACTTAAAAATAAAGATGTAATAATGCCAGGCTTCTTCTCCTCGGCATCCTGAATTCCATTGTTGTCTCCATCTTCAACCTTCAATGTATTTAAAATATGAAATGGAAAAAACCCAGAAGAAATCATTACATAAAATAAAATTATCCAAGTAAAATTAAAGGATGGATAGAAAAGAAATGAAGGCAGTTTATTCGGACTTAATTAGAGACTTACTGAATAAGCTTGAAATCTATCTCACACATCTCTTAAACTTCAACCCCTATCCTCCTTGCCTCTGTAATATGCACACATATAGAAAAAGAAATCGACTTTAGAACCTGCATTGATACATATCTTGTGTGAGTAGGTCTTTCCTGCTTTTCCCCAATCATGCATATCAAAGAAACGAAAAAGAAGGAAATCACCCATATATATAATACTTTAAGTTTAAATGCATCCCAATTTTGGGTTCCAATGTCACAGAAAGAATGTCTTCTACATAATTTAACAGTACACCCGACATCGGTCCATCCATTCGTATTAATAGTTATTGTCTGCACAAACCTCAATTACCTTACAATCTATCATTATTGACATAAAGTTCATACAATATGGGACATCATGACCTCTCTTTGGCCAACACCAGTTTTTCCAAAATGAAATCAACTATTACTGCATTAATTATGGGTCCATCTGGCCAATTCATTGAATTTGCAGGCCCAAAAATTTCACCAATTAACTGAATTTACATACAAATGGGAGAAATACAAAAACAAAGACAATGACATAAATTATACCATAAAAATTACACTACGAAAAATTTAGAGACCAAAATCCTTGTTAACAGAATTTATTCACATTAAAAGACACAATTTCGGTTCAAAAAACTATCAAATTTAAACTTTGATATCATATGATAAAATCTTAATTAAACTCACAATCTCAAGAAGTTGAAACCATGTTAAGTAAAAGAAACAAATTGAAAAAAATTAAGATGTACATATTGATAAGAACAACAAAAGTGGCAAATACATTATACACAGATAGGACCATGAAATATCGGAACCAGCAGCAACAAATAGAATTAAGAAGAAAAAGGATTAGCAGACTTAATAAATGAGAAATAGGATAAGAGGTACAAACCAATGATACGAACTCAATTTTTCCACTATGAATAAGAGATCCAGTGGCATAACCTAACATTAGGTAGAATCAATGCTGGTTGATTGAATTTTCATTCCCTGAAAATTCAGAAAATGATGTGTTTTGATCTGCAGATAGAAGCATTCTATATATATAAAAAAAAATATATGGAGACATGATGAGGTTCAGAAACCAAACCATGTCGGTAAAATCCTCTTGGCAGGTTGCTCAAGGTTGACCTCCTAGCCCTTGGACCAGTCAGGAGACTTGGCCTCCTGCTTTCAAGTTTGGAAGGGAAGTAAAAGGTTCAGCCAATAAGTAAAAGAACTGATTCAGAGGATAGAATCAAAATTTCAAAATATTATTTGATGCGATTAAAACTATTCCCAATGATAAAATGAATAAAAAAAATCCATTGGAATAAAAGAAAAAGAATACAACAACAACAACAACAAAGCCTTTTCCCACTAAGTGGGGTCGGCTATATGAATCCTAGAACGCCATTGCGCTCGGTTTTGTGTCATGTCCTCCGTTAGATCCAAGTACTCTAAGTCTTTTCTTAGAGTCTCTTCCAAAGTTTTCCTAGGTCTTCCTCTACCCCTTCGGCCCTGAACCTCTGTCCCGTAGTCACATCTTCGAACCGGAGCGTCAGTCGGCCTTCTTTGCACATGTCCAAATCACCAGAGCCGATTTTCTCTCATCTTTCCTACAATTTCGGCTACTCCTACTGTACCTCGGATATCCTCATTCCCAATCTTATCCTTTCTCGTGTGCCCACACATCCCACGAAGCATCCTCATCTCCGCTACACCCATTTTGTGTACGTGTTGATGCTTCACCACCCAACATTCTCTGCCATACAACATCGCTGGCCTTATTGCCGTCCTATAAAATTTTCCCTTGAGCTTCAGTGGCCTACGACGGTCACACAACACGCCGGATGCACTCTTTCCATCCAGCTCGTATTCTATGGTTGAGATCTCCATCTAATTCTCCGTTCTCTTGCAAGATAGATCATAGGTAACGAAAACGGTCGCTTTTTGTGATCTTCGCTAGATTGCTTCGGTCATTAGTGTGGATAAGTATATAAATGGATAGAGATAGGAAAGCAAACACAAGATGTACGTGGTTCACCCAGATTGGCTACGTCCACGGAATAGAAGAGTTCTCATTAATTGTGAAGGGTTTACACAAGTACATAGGTTCAAGCTCTCCTTTAGTGAGTACGAGTGAATGATTTAGTACAAATGACATTAGGAAATATTGTGGGAGAATGATCTCGTAATCACGAAACTTCTAAGTATATCGGAGTGTGGTGTCGTCTTGACTTGCCTTATCTGTCTCATAGGTAGATGTGGCATCTTCTCTTGGAAGTACTCTTCCTCCATCCAGGGGTGGTATCTTTAACTGGTGGAGATGCACAAGGTAATGTATCAATTTCACTTGAAGCTTACTTACTGTAGTTTCAGGCTTGGTCAAGCGCGATACAAACCATGTAGTAGGAGTCCCCCAAGTCGCCGGGCTAGGGGGTCTGCTGAAAGAGGTGACAGACAAGGTAAGCAATCAGAGCTCCGACTGATTGTTCACCTTCTCCCCATCTTGCAGCAGCATGAAGGATAAAGAGAAGAAAAATGAGAAGAGATGATATGAGATACTTTTGCTTTTGAAGAAGTAACTTTCCACAGGCTTATTCTTGAACTGAGCTGGAGGGTTTTCTGGTTTCCTCCAAAGTATAAGGCCGACTGAAGAATTTGAGGGTCAAAACAAGTCCATCAAATCTAGAGTACGTTCCACCCTGCTAATATGGGATACTTTTGCTTTTGACAGAGTAATGGATGTATCGGCACGTGTGCTGTTACGCTTGTCTCCACATGCTTCCTTGTATCCTTCGCACTTGCCCTATCTGTTCCTCAAGCAGATGCGGAATCTTCCCTGGAAACATAAGATGTTGAAGATGAGTACTCAAGAGCAATGCCAGGTAAGTAATCAGGTAAGGGGTTCCAGGCAGTCAGTTCCTGGCTGGAAGCTTGATTCCAAGTGCTGACTGATTGCTCTCTTTCTCCTTATCTTGCAGGTAAAAACAAGGCCAAAAGAAAAAACAGGGAAAAAGCATGATATGGGATACTCTTGCTTTTAACCCTGATGATATGAGATATTCTTGCTCTAGTATAGCTTGTTTGCAGAGGTATTATCGGGGGGAAAGAAAGCTGAATATTTCGAAAGGCTTTGTTGGGAGTGCCCTATCAGATATGATGAAGGGTTGAGCATTTTTGCAGGTCTGCCTGTCCGTTGGGGATGGAGGTCGACATATATAGGAGTCTCCCTAACAACAAGTAGTAATGCTATTCCTTTACCCTGCTTGGTCATAGCACGGTAGTGGGAGCTGCCAGTTTCACATGTTTTAACTCTGTCAGAGCACTTTGAAAAAGTGGTCTGTGGTATCTGGCTCTCGAGATTCGGAGAACGATGCTTCTTCGATTTTTGAGAAAGCAATCATGTTGGGGGTCTGACTCTCGAGATTCGGAGAGCAGTGTCTCTTCGATTTTTGAGGAAGTAATCATGTTGGGAGTCTGGCTCTCGAGATTCGGAGGGCGGTGCCTCTTCGATTTTGGAGCAAGCAATCTTGTTGGGAGTGTTGTCTCGAATGTGAGTAAAGGTTGGACATGTTTGCTAGTCTACCTTGCCACGAAGCACAAAGGTTGACACATAGGGACTTTCCAATTATCCAGCAATGGTACTGTTCCTTTACCCTCTCTTCGATTTTGAGAAAGTAGTCATGTTGGGAGTCTGGCTCTCGAGATTCGGAGGACGGTGCCTCTTCGATTTTGGAGCAAGCAATCTTGTTGGGACTGTTTTCTCGAATGTGAGTAAAGGTTGGGCATGTTTGCTAGTCTACCTTGCCACGAAGCACAGAGGTTGACACACAGGGACTTTCCAATTATCCAGCAGTGGTACTGTTCCTTTACCCTTGTGGGTAATAATATGGTAGCTAGACCTTCAAAATTTATGTGTCTAAACTTTGTTAGTGCTGTTTCTTTGCTATTCTTTTACCTTTCTTGGTCAGAGCGATGTAGTGGGAGCTGCAAGCTTCACGTGCTCAACTTTGGCAGAGAACTTTGGCAAAGTGATCTGTGGTACCCATGAGTTATTGTTGTTGCGTGTGGGAAGTGGGTGATTGAACAGTAAGATTCATGTGCTTTCTACTTCACCAGAAGTCTTCGACAGAATGCCCATAATTTCTGCAAAGCTGAGTGTGCGTGTGACAGGTGCTGACAAGGCTAGAAAAAGTAGGTGCCTCTTTGATTTCTGAGATCGGCCCTCGTGGTCTCTGAGCAGCCCAGCTTTTGAGAAAGCGAGCGCCTCTTCGATTGATTCGGAGAACGGTGCCTCACCGATTTTTGAGAAAGCAATCATGTTGGGGGTCTGGCTCTCGAGATTCGGGGAGCAGTGTCTCTTCGATTTTTGAGAAAGTAATCATGTTGGGAGAGTGGCTCTCGAGATTCGGAGGGCGGTGCCTCTTCGATTTTGGAGCAAGCAATCTTGTTGGGAGTGTTTTCTCGAATGTGAGTAAAGGTTGGGCATGTTTGCTAGTCTACCTTGCCACGAAGCACAGAGGTTGACACACAGGGACTTTCCAATTATCCAGCAATGGTACTGTTCCTTTACCCTCTCTTCGATTTTTAAGAAAGTAGTCTTGTTGGGAGTCTGGCTCTTTAGATTCGGAGGACGGTGCCTCTTCGATTTTGGAGCAAGCAATCTTATTGGGAGTGTTTTCTCGAATGTGAGTAAAGGTTGGGCATGTTTGCTAGTCTACCTTGCCACGAAGCACAGAGGTTGACATACATGGACTTTCCAATTATCCAGCAGTGGTACTGTTCCTTTACCCTTGTGGGTAATAATATGGTAGCTAGACCTTCAAAATTTATGGGTCTAAACTTTGTTAGTGCTGTTTCTTTGCTATTCTTTTACCCTTCTTGGTCAGAGCGATGTAGTGGGAGCTGCAAGCTTCACGTGCTCAACTTTGGCAGAGAACTTTGGCAAAGTTATCTGTGGTACCCATGAGCTATTGTTGCGTGTGGGAAGTGGGTGATTGAACAGTAAGATTCATGTGTTTTCTACTTCCCCAAAAGTCTTTGACAGAATGCCCATAATTTCCGCAAAGCTGAGTGTGCGTGTGACAGGTGCTGACAAGGCTGGAAAAGTAGGTGCCTCTTCGATTTCTGAGATCGGCCCTCGTGGTCTCTAGGGAGCCCAGCTTTTGAGAAAGCGAGCGCCTCTTCGATTTCTGAGATCGGCCTTCGTGGTCTTTGAGCAGCCCAACTTTTGAGAAAGCAAACGACTCTTCGATTTCTGAGATCAACCCTCGTGATCTCTAAGCAGCCCAACTTTTGAGAAAGCAAACGCCTCTTCGATTTCTGAGCAGGCGCCTCTTTGATTTCTGAAGCTCCGTCGAGTGCAGATTTTTATAGGGGCTGGCATTAAGTTCCAAAGCACACTTGAATCTCCACCAGTAGAAGCTTCATTCTTGCACTTCTAAGATCTTGATTTGTCCGACCTCTTTCTCTCTTCAACACCTTTGAAAATGTCTGGCCCCTCCGACCGTCGTTTTTGACTTGAACCTTGTTGAAGAGGCAGCCCCGCCTTCTCCAGACAACATATGGCGCCCATCCTTCGTCTCCCCAACTGGTCCTCTTACCGTTGGGGATTCCGTGATGAAGAATGATATGACCGCTGCGGTGGTGGCCAGGAACCTTCTCACTCCCAAAGATAACAGACTACTTTTCCAAACGGTCTGATGAGTTAGCTGTTAAGGATTCGCTGGCTCTCAGTGTTCAGTGTGCAGGTTCTGTGTCTAATATGGCACAACGCCTATTTGCTCGAACCCGCCAAGTTGAATCATTGGCGGCTGAAGTGATGAGTCTCAAACAGGAGATTAGAGGGCTCAAGCATGAGAATAAACAGTTGCACCGGCTCGCACATGACTATGCTACAAACATGAAGAGGAAGCTTGACCAGATGAAGGAAACTGATGGTCAGGTTTTACTTGATCATCAGAGATTTGTGGGTTTGTTCCAAAGGCATTTATTGCCTTCGTCTTCTGGGGCTGTACCGCGTAATGAAGCTCCAAATGATCAACCTCTGATGCCTCCTCCTTTTAGGGTTCTGTCCAGTACTGAGGCTCCAAATGATCCCCCTCCGGTGCCTTCTCTTTCTGGGGCTCTACCGACTGCTGAGACTTCTCCTAAGCAACCTTTGTGAAGGCTCCCTCTTGTGTGTTTATTTTGACTCATGTATATGTACATATTTGTAGCTTATCGGGGATATCAATAAATAAGCTTTCCTTCATTTCAACGTATTGTGTTAAATACACCAAAGCCTTCTTCGCTAAGTTCTTTGAATTTTCTTTTGTTGAAGCTTGTATGTTGAAGCTTTCTGAGTGGAGCATGTAGGTTGGGGTAGTGTTCCCTTAATTTCCCGAGTGAGGAAAACTTCTTGGTTGGAGACTTGGAAAATCCAAGTCACTGAGTGGGATCGGCTATATGAATCTTAGAACGCCATTGTGCTCGATCCTGTGTCATGTCCTTCGTTAGATCCAAGTACGCTAAGTCTTTTCTTAGAGTCTCTTCCAAAGTTTTCCTAGGTCTTCCTCTACCCCTTCGGCCCTGAACCTCTGTCCCCCATAGTCGCATCTTCTAATCGGAGCGTCAGTAGGCCTAGGCCTTCTTTGCACATGTCCAAACCACCGTAACCGATTTTCTCTCATCTTTCCTTCAATTTCGGCTACTCCTACTTTACCCCGGATATCCTCATTCCTAATCTTATCCTTTCTCGTGTGCCCACACATCCAACGAAGCATCCTCATCTCCGCTACACCCATTTTGTGTACGTGTTGATGTTTCACCGCCCAACATTCTGTGCCATACAGCATTGCCGGCCTTATTGCCGTCCTATAAAATTTTCCCTTGAGCTTCAGTGGCATACGGCGGTCACACAACACGCCGGATGCACTCTTCCACTTCATCCATCCAGCTTGTATTCTATGGTTGAGATCTCCATCTAATTCTCCGTTCTTTTTGCAAGATAGATCCTAGGTAACGAAAACGGTCGCTCTTTGGTATTTCTTGATCTCCGATCCTCACCCCTAACTCGTTTTGGCCTCCATTTGCACTTGCAACTGACTTACTCCATATATTCTGTCTTTGATCGGCTGAGGCGAAGACCTTTAGATTCCAACACTTCTCTCCAAAGGTTAAGCTTTGCATTTACCCCTTCCTGAGTTTCATCTATCAACACTATATATCGTCTGCGAAAAGCATGCACCAAGGAATATCATCTTGAATATGTCCTGTTAACTCATCCATTACCAACGCAAAAAGGTAAGGACTTAAGGATGAGCCTTGATGTAATCCTACAGTTATGGGAAAGCTTTCGGTTTGTCTTTCATGAGTTCTTACGGCGTCTCTTGGTCTTTGCTCCTTCATACCTATATCCTTTATAGCTTGCTATATGCTACTCGCTACTCCTCCTTTCTTCTCTAAATCCTCCAAAGAATGTCTCTTGGGACCCTATCATACGCTTTTTCCAAATCTATAAAGACCATGTGTAAATCCTTTTTCCCATCTCTATATCTTTCCATCAATCTTCGTAAGAGATAGATTGCCTCCATGGTTGAGCGCCCTGGCATGAACCCGAATTGGTTGTCCGAAACCCGTGTCTCTTGCCTCAATCTATGCTCAATGACTCTCTCCCAGAGCTTCATTGTATGACTCATTAGCTTAATACCCCTATAGTTCATGCAATTTTGTACGTCGCCCTTATTCTTGTAGATAGGCACCAAAGTGCTCGTTCGCCACTCATTTGGCATCTTCTTCGTTTTCAAAATCCTATTGAAAAGGTCAGTGAGCCATGTTATACCTGTCTCTCCCAAAACTTTCCACACTTCGATTGGTATATCGTCTGGGCCTATTGCTTTTCTATGCTTCATCTTCTTCAAAGCTACAACCACTTCTTCCTTCCGGATTCGACGATAAAAGGAGTAGTTTCTACACTCTTCTGAGTTACTCAACTCTCCTAAAGAAGCACTCCTTTCATGTCCTTCATTGAAAAGATTATGAAAATAAAAAGAAAAAGAATGATTAAAATTATTCACAACCCTTGTTGTTTTTACCTAACCATTTGTAGGATCCATAAAGGGCCAAAAAATGTTTTTTACTTCTCCTCTAGTCCCATAAATTTGGATTCCATCTCGTCCAAGCAAACTAACAATCATTACTATACTTTGTTTTAGCATGCGAACACAAATCTCAAAAAAAAAAGATAATTCATTTACAAATTTAAATTCAATTTTTATATCTCGATATATTTGTTTGTTAAACTCAGTGATCAAACTTCAGACTCATGCCTTCCAAAAAGAAAAGAAAACGAAGAAGAATCGAAAGCACTTCCCATTCCAAGGAAAGAGCAGCCATTATTAGGATCCAAAACTCATTCTTTAGTCTCCTCATCTGAAGCTATATATAATCATTGAACAAAAACGTTTAACGTCCAGCAGAAAGCAAACTGCAATCAAAATTTCAAAATAGCAAAATAATGCGCAGATAATCGACAGCTGCAACAAACAAAAAATAGAAAAATCAATTGCAGATTGAAGGAAAAATCGAGACCGCAGTCGAAACTCATGCTTGTATGGGTAATTAATTGTAGATACCGAATCATCAAAAACCACTTGTCTACACCAAATTGCATACAAAAGATATTGGGGCAACTCAGATTGCGCAATGAAAAACAAAGTCAAACTACGACGTAGATGTCTATCGGAATTTCATTCAAAGAATGATTAAATAAAGACAATGGCATGCCAAAGATTAAATACCCTAAGCGACAGTGTCAGCCATGAGCTTCCCTCTGTGAGAGCACAGGGGTGTAACTGCAAAAGAAAGTCGAAGACTGAGGGCAGACTGTAATTTCGTCAAAAAGGAGGAAGAGTACAAAGGAGAAGTGACAGCAATAAGCGTAGACACCAAGGACGAAGTAAATATGTATTTGTGAATGGGGTTAAGCTGCTGCTAGCTTTGTATAGTGTAATAATGCAACTGCAAATAGACCAAGTTACTGCTACTAAAAGCTTTTGCAAAATCATAAAACTCTTAACAGTTTGAACCCTACTGAAAAGTTTATATGAGTTAAAGAACAGTTGTACTTAAGTGCAGCAAGATCATAAGCTCTTGTAGCTTCTCCTCCATATCAGAACCACTTGCAGTCCAAATTAACCAAGATTCAAGGCCAAAGCAAGAACAAATTAGTGATAATTTAAACTAAAGTCCCTAATTATTGTTGCAGAGAGAATTCATATCAAGATTAACTACATTATTTGATTCGAATGGAATCCAAACGCAGCATAAACATGAAAGGTAAAAAATTAATACCAAAAGTCACATTTAAGCAGCCATTAATAGCATAAATCAGATTTTAGTGGCATGGACCAAAATAATTCAGTAAAAAAGAAACAATCCCAAACAAATAGAAAGAACTGGAGAAACAATTCGAAACAAATTTTTGGAAAGCAACCCCATCCCTCCCTCACCCTCTCTCCTTCCAATTCCAACTTGTCCCTACATCTCTCTGTCTATAATAGACGTGCAGTTTTATTAATCTTTGTTGCCGAAGCATGCAAGATAGTGAAAAGACTGTTTATCTAAGAAAAAAAAGGGTACATTGTCCATCATAGAAAGCAAGCTTGGAAGGAGAAGAAAATTAATCATAATCCAGAATATATATTCGGAATACTGGTGTATAAAACATAATTTCAAATTATATCTAAGCTAATTAAAATGCCAAACCCTTTCAAGTAAGCTTGGCAGCCACTGATCAGGGTGTGTTACAAATAAGAAAAACAAAACCAGATGAACAACCAAATGTAAGTCGTAATCTACAGAAGATTAATACCTTCACTAACTAAATGAACCAAGAATGAATATATCCAAGATTAATACTCTCCCATCAACCCCCCTCTCCACCTGCAACCCATCAACCCCTTTGTGAACCATGCCTCTGACCTCTCTCTATGCGTTCTTCCCTCTGTGCAAGCCCATACTCACCAACTCCCTCAATCAACTCTCTCTCTCTCTCTCTCTCTGCCTTCTCTGTCCATGAATCCCTGTGCATCAATAATCTGAAAACCCAGTTCGATTTTTCATTGCTCGGATGGAGAAAACTGAGGAATGAAAGAACAAATTAGGGCTAGGACTAAAGTTGAGAGAGATGGAGAGTTGGGAGAAATGGAGACTCTGAAAGAGAGTGAAAGAGAAAGGGCTAGAGAGAGGAGTGTGACAGAGATGAGAGGAAAACACGGGATGGGTTTGCCAATTCCTGAAATCACTCTCCCTACCCCCAAATACCTGAAATCTCTCATTCTCACACTGTCCCCCTCCCACTCACCCATGCCAGGATCGGCATGGCTTTGTCTGTGCCGAAGACAGAATGAAGTGACGGGGCAGTCTCATGATAACAAGACGATTCTACCCATCCATCTCATCATCCTCACCGTGGGATCTGAAGATGAGATGGGCAGTCTCGTCATTCAACACAATAAAAAATTTCTGAAGCAGAGCAATCCTGGTAAAACCGTAAATATTTTGAAATCTGGTCAGAGACAAAATTAACCTCCTAACTTTTAAAAACTACCTTCCAACCCAGCCCCAAATCCCACGGTTTTGTTGTAAATAAAGCAAAATCGAAGGGGGAGGAATTGACCTCAAAAGACAAAATTACCCTCCTAACTTTTAATAACTACCTGCCAACCCATCTCCAAATCACATGGTTTTGTTGTAAATAAAGCAAAATAAAAAAAAAATGAACAGTGCCTGCCCTCCCCCCTACTTTAGAATAGATAACTAGAAAATAAAAACTGCAATATAAGTGCAGATAGAAACTCTCTCATATCTTTTCCTATGAGATATGTACCGCATGACCCGATAGAAAATTATGCATATGAACAACATCTCATAAACTTTGGAGCAAATAGAAATGTGCTTTCAAGCACTATTACAATATCTGCCAGCGGTGCATACAGATACAGGAAATACACATAGACACATATGGTTTGGGTTCGGACGTTTTTGCATGGCTCATTCTGTAATGTATTTCAACTATCCAACCGTTTATATTTCAACTCATCATTCATTGATCATCCTTGCAAACAATGATATAAATCAAAACCATTAGAGCATCGGAAAGTGAGACCCTAAAGTAAAGAGACTCACCAAATACTTAGTGTATGTACCCACATATAGGGACCGAAATGATGGAGCCCAATGACAATTTGAGTGTTGTGATTTTTAATGGGTGATGTAGGACGCCGGTAATTGCAAGGTTAATTAGTTGTTGATGATAACATACCCAGTTAGTCAGTTACCCACTATCGTTTGCATTAAGAAAAATGTAATATTATCTATTCTAAAATTGAGGATGAGGCTGCCAAAAAGGGGGTGGTTAGGGTTGATTTTGTCTCCTCAAATCAAGGTTTGAACCCACCTTCACTCCCTTCCTCTTCCTCATCTTCTCAGCCGCAGAGGGTTGAACCCGCCGCCTCCAGAAGCTACTCCAAACCCCCAAATTTTATCCCAAATCCAAAGAAGCCCCGAAATCCCAATTCAGTTTCACGGAGTCAGGGTGGCCTGCTGGTCAAACTGCAGTGAAGAAAACTGAGGTGGGTTCGTCCAACGGTCAACTGGTGTCTGTGCGTATTGTTGAGACAGCAACTGGGCAGCAACAAGAACATGAAGAGAAGAAGAAGAGAGAATCGCTGTTGGTGGTGTTCCGGGGGAAGACGTTGGGGCATCGGAGTCCAGCAAAGCCCATTACGAGGATGATGATTGTGATGTGGTGAGTAGAATGGAAGAGTTGTAGGTCGTTGTCGAATTAATGATCAGGCTTAGGAGGATGAGGTAATCTGAGACTTTCAAGTTTTTTTACTTTCTCATTTAGTGTAGCTTAAATTTTAGTTCAGGATTGCTTATTTCGCTATACTCTGCTGGAATCATGAGAATTACCGCCCCAAAAAAAAAAAAAAAAACGACAGAAATTAAATTTGTCTTTCATTGTTTCATAGATATTTTTGTAAACAAAAAAATAAAACGGAAAATTTTTAAAAAAGAAGAAATTATAACGTGGAACTCAAAAAAAACTCTTATCACTTTCAACACATAAAAGTTTATGTACTCTTCTATTTGGCTTTAATTGGTGGGAAAGGTCATGAGTTTTTTGGTGTCATGAGCCCTCATGCGTCTGTTCTCGAATTTAGGCGCATAATTTTTCTATTTTAGTAGTTTGTGCTGGGCTTATCTTGGATTTAGGTTATTCAATATATAGTTTATTGAGAAAGGTTTTAATCTTCTGGGTTCATAAAGGTTGAAGCTTTTGCAGTTTTTATGTAGACCCATCTGCTCAAAACTAATGGATTTATGATGTTCTTTTGATTTGTAGGTCCACTTGCTGATTGGAAATCCCAGCACCTGCTATCAATCTATCTACCGGAAGTTCTTATGGTTAATCAAAGAGAGGGAAAAAAGTCGACTTTTGTATCTCTCTCCAGTTGTTTTGGAATTCATTTGCATAAACACTCATCTTTGATTTGTTCATTTTCTCATTACCTCTTTTCTATATTTGATCGTTGAGGTGGTGTGTGCTTTAGTTTGGCCTTTTGTTTATGAATTTCATAAAATCAAAAAATCTGCTGTGTGCTGAGTTTTATTGGCGTAAATCTATTGATGCCTGGTTTTTTTATAACTTCATTTTCTACATTGCTTTTGTTTTTAATGATGTTTTCTTGCTTGGTGATTACTTATTTCCTTGGATCAATTGTATATGTCTAATAGAGGAGGTAGCATGCAATTTCGTATTATTTACACACGCATACATATTAATGGAATTAGTATTTAATTAGCTACAATCACTAATTTGGAGATGCATAATGTGCGTGCAAACTCTTCTCATGTGGAACAAGTAAAGAAGGTGAATCCCATCTGGTGGAGTGGAATGAGAGCGAAGGGGCTATCAAAATGACATATTATGGTTTTAGAAAACGCTCTTTAGACGTTGTTCAGTCAAGTTAGATATCATGCCAGGTTTTGTTAGATTACAGTGATGATTATGAATTTCTAGAAGAAAATGAGTATTTCAGAGAGAGAATTCACAGAGGAGAGTGAGCTGATTTCATTTCTTCTTCATTACTCTATCGGAATGTAACCGATTGCAAATTCATACAGAGCACTATCACACTCTCTCTCTCATAACAGAAAGTATACATCACAGCCATTCATTTCATCTATCCTATGAGATAGCTACAGCTGTCACTCTACATTGTTAACTCTCATTCAATCTAGAGCATTCATTTTGGAATGTAATCCAATGGCTCTAATTAAAACAAGTAAAATGAATTTATTTATTTAAGCTAAAACACTTAAACACTAACACTCCCTTCTAAGTTTTTAGTTGAAATTGTTGTACTTTTATGCACAAATGGAAACGAATTATAACAAAGTACCAAATATCAACGTCGTAGATAGAAAGCTAAAACAAACAATCTCAAACTAACATAAGAGATTTACGTGGTTCGGCGTAAAGCCTACTCCACGGGCGAATCACGGAAATGAATTTCACTAAACAAACGGAGATTACAAAAGAGTGTTTAAACTCTCACAACCTAAATCTCACAAATTACAAACCCTAAACCAAACGAGTAGAGAACTCAAAACAAAAGGAGAAGATTCTCCCAAATTGCTCTCTAACTCACAAATTGACTCTCACCAAATTGCCACATGAATGAGTCACACAAAATACACTAACCTTAAGGTCCTATTTATAGTGCATAGGACTTAGGTTACAATAGGAATCCTAATAGGAAATAAATCCAAATTCTAATCAAATAGGTAATTAACAAAATCTCTCCACCAAGGAAACTAACTAAGAAGTTAAAACCAAACCCAAATAGGACACTAAAACCAAATAGGTAACACAAACCTAATTTATTGCATCATCCTAATTTTGAGCCAAAACCCAACAATTTCCACCTCGGCGAGAAATTAGCAAACTTCCAAATTTTGGGATACCAAAATACAAACACAAACGTGCACCAAATTCTTTCGAAACTGATCTCCACCTAGACTCAAAAAATCCAAAAGTCTTCAAACTTGAAATTTCCTCCAACGCCTTCTCCAACAAATTCCATAATGGAAACTGACAAATACGAAACAAAATCCAAGTAAAAGCTTGAACATACGAACAAAAAGTGCGAATTGCACTCCACCCAAAGAGCTTGAGTACCAAGCTCCACCTCTTCACATAACCTTTAGAGGAGTTCAGAACAACGATCTTCTGCAATGTTTGCATCAACACTAGCAAAAGATTTATCAAACAACTTCTTTTTGCCCTTGAGTTTAGGGCAATCTACTTTCCAATGACCATCCTTATAACAATAGCTAAAAGTGTTCTTTCCAAGTTTGCTCCTTTCCTTATTCCTTCCTTGAACTACCAAAGCTCCATCTTGTATGTCAGACATTTTATTCTTTAGCTCTTTAGAATTCAAAGGGACTTTAACATCTTCCAAACTAAGGCTTTCTCTACCAAATAGCATGGTATCGACAAAGTGTTCATATGAAGGAGATAAAGAACACAACAAAGTTATCGCATAATCCTCATCACTAATTTGGTTGTCCACACTTTTCAAATCCATCATAAGTTTATTGAATTCATCAACATGCTTATGAATTGACGTACCTTTATCCATACGAAGAGTATGCAAACTTTTCTTCAAATACAACCGTTTAGCAAGGGATTTGGTCATATACAAGCTCTCCAATTTTATCCATAACTCAGGTGCAGATTTGATGCTACCAACTCCACGCAAGACTTCATTCAATAAAGTCAGCAGGATTGCTCCAAGTGCCCGTTCCATAACGTCTTCTTTTTCTTCATCAGTCCACGAATCCGGCAAAGCCTTCACACCCTTTAGCGTTTTCAAAAGCCCTTGTTGAACTAACAAAGCATGCATCTTCAATTGTCAAATACCATAGTCATTGCCGTCGAACTTTTCAATATCAACCTTCACCGACGACATAGAAGGCTTCATAGTGACTGCCAAACAAAGCCCAAGCCGAAACCTGGGCTCTGATACCACTTGTTGTACTTTTATGCACAAACAGAAACGAATTATAACAAAGTGCCAAATATCAACGTCATAGATGAAAGCTAAAACAAACAATCTCAAACTAACACGAGATTTACGTGGTTCGACGTAAAGCATACTCCACGGGCAAAGCATGGAAAGGAATTTCACTAAACAAACGGAGATTACAAAAGAGTGTTTAAACTCTCACAACCCAAATCCCACAAATTACAAACCCTAAACCAAACGAGTAGAGAACTCAAAACAAAAGGAGAAGATTCTCCTAAATTGCTCTATAACTCACAAATTGACTCTCACAAAATTGCAGCACGAATGAGTTACACAAAATACACTAACCCTAAGGTCCTATTTATAGTGCATAGGACTTAGGTTACAATAGGAATCCTAATAGGAAATAAATCCAAATCCTAATCAAATAGGTAATTAACAAAATCTCTCCACCAAGGAAACTAACTAAGAAGTCAAAACCAAACCCAAATAGGACACTAAAACCAAATAGGTAACACAAACCTAATTTATTGCATCATCCTAATTTTGATCCAAAAACCCAACAGAAATCACTCCCAAAGCCTTCCTCAAATACTCAAATCTATCCCTTGCCAATGCTTTTGTAAAAATATCAGCAACTTGTTCTTCAGTTTTGCAATAAATCAGATCAACTTCACCATTCTGCAGTGCATCTCTGATAAAATGGAACCTTCTGTTTATGTGTCTTGTCTTATGATGTGCCACTAGATTCTTAGAGATTGCAATAGCAGAGGTATTATCACATAGGATCTGAGTAGGCTCCACTTGTTCCTCTCCAAAATCTTATAAGACAAACCTTAACCAGATGGCTTGAGCAGTTGCTTCTGCAGCACTAACATACTCAGCCTCTGCAGTGGACAAGGCTACACTGCTTTGTTTGATTGAGGCCCAAGAGAATGCTCCAGAACCAAAGCTAAAAGCATATCCGGAGGTGCTCTTCGTGTCATCTTCACTCCCTGCCCAGTCACTATCACAGTATCCAATAAGCATAGCATCTTTTGCCCTTTTCATATGCAATTCCATAGTCCAGTGTGTGCCTTGGATATACCTTAGCACTCTCTTTGCAGTTCCCATATGTTTCCTGGTTGGATTATGCATGAACCGAGCAAGTAGACTTGCAACAAACATGATATCAGGTCTTGTAGCTGTTAAATATAATAAGCTACCAACAATTTGCCTGTAAAGATTCTCATCAGCTGTTTCACTTCCATCTTCTTTGCTTAATCTTTCATTTGTTGCAAGTGGAGTTGCAACAGGTTTGCACTCCTTCAATCCAAATTTCTCCAACAAGGTTCTTGCATATTTCTTTTGATGCAGAAAGATACAACCTTCTGTTTGAATGACTCCAAGTCCCAAGAAATGATGCAATAGTCCCAAGTCAGACATTTCATACTTTCCCATAATTTCTGCTTTAAACTCATCCATTAATGTACTGGAACTCCCTGTGTATATAATGTCATCAACATACAAAGAAACAATGAGTATTCCTGCCTCAGTTGCTTTGATGTAGAGAGTTGCCTCACTTGGACTTCTGTGAAAACCAGAACTACAGAAGTATGAGTCAATCTCCTTGTACCAGGCCCTTGGTGCCTGTTTCAACCTATACAAGGCCTTCTTGAGCTTGTAAACCTTGTCCTCCTTGCCTTTAATCATAAAACCAAGTGGTTGATCTACATATACTTCCTCATTTAGAACTCCATTCAGAAATGTAGACTTTACATCAAGTAGGAATAGCTTCCATCATTTCTGTGCAGCAAGCCCAATTAGAGTCCTAATAGTGTCAAGCCTTGCCACAGGAGCAAATGTCTCATTGAAATCAATCCCAGGCTTTTAAGAGTATCCCTTAGCCACTAACCTTGCCTTATTCTTCTGTATAGACCCATCTAGGTTCAATTTTATTTTGTAGATCCACTTGACACCAACAACTGGCTTATTAAATGGTCTATCAACAAGTTCCCAGGTACAATTCTTCTCTATCATGCCAATTTTTGCTTCCATTGCCTTTTTCCATGACTTATCTTTTGCTGCTTCCTCAAAGTTCTCAAGCTCAATAATGCACATATTGCATTTTGCATATATTTCTGTCAAGCTCTTGAACTTCAAAGGAGTATGATCATAGTCTTGAGGACTTGTGTTATTCTGCATTTGCACCAGCCTTGAGCCATTTTCAATTGACTCATTGGTTTCAGATGATGATGCTAAGGATTCATCATTTACATCACTTTTATCACTTGAGTTCCCTTCCACACTTTGCTCACACATTTTCTTTCCAGGTATAGATACACTGATGGTTTTCTCAGGTTGAGACTTCCAATCCTAGCAAGCATTTTCATCAACTATTACATCCCTTGACATAATTATTCTCTTTGAGATAGGATCATAGAGTCTATAACCTTTCTTACATGTGCCATATCCCAAGAGAATGCATTTAGTACTTGTTTCATCTAACTTCTGTCTAATTTGTCTTGGAATGTAAGCATAACACACAGAACCAAAAATCTTTAAGTGTTTGATCCCTGGTTTTCTACCACTTATGCCTCGAAAGGAGTCTTCTTATCAAGAGACTTGGTGGGACATCAGTTCAAAATATATACTGCTGTATTAACAGCTTCTGCCCAGAAATCAAATGGAACACCCTTTTCAATCATCATACACTTTGCCATTTCAACTATGGTTCTATTATTCCTCTCAGCTACACCATTTTGCTGAGGTGTGTATGCCACTGTCAGTTGTCTTTCCATGCCCATTCCTTCACAAAATTCCCTGAACTCATTAGATACATATTCTCCTTCTCTGTCACTTCTCAACTTCTTCAATTTGTAGCCACTTTGCAGTTCAACTGTGAGCTTAAATTTCTTGAATATACTAAACCCCTCTGACTTGTTCCTTAAGAAGTAAACCCAACACATTCGAGTGCAGTCATCTATAAAGGTAAGAAAATACTTATTTCCAGCCTTTGTAGAAGTCTACACAGGTCCACAGATGTCAGAGTGAATGAGTTCAAGAGGTAGTGAAGCCCTCCATGATGCTTCATTTGGAAATGCATCTCTGCAATGCTTCCTAAGAGCACATCCTTCACATATCTCATTGGTCATTTCAAGATCAGGCAAACCCAACACCATATCATGTTCTTTGAGTTGCTTCAAGCTGCTTAAATTCAAATGTCCTAATCTCCTATGCCAGATTGTAGAAGACTGATACACACCAGCCTTTAGAGCAACCTGCATCTCAGGTTTAAGTCTCAAAGGAAAACTTCTGTTGCCCTTCATTGGTATTCTAGCTATCAGATTTGACATGGAACCATCATCATATATTTCTGCAGTTGTACCTCCAAACACAAGAAAGTAACGTGTTCCATCATTTGCCCTATACTGAGCAAATTTTCTTTTAAACCTGGAATTAACATCACCTCCTTGATATACCTCCTTCCCATTTTGGTATCAACTACTAAACTTCCTTTCCCTGTAACTTCAATGAGCTGTCCAGTACCCATTTCTTCCTTAGCAGTTATAGTTCTATCAATGTCAACCAGCAAATCCTCCCTTCCAGTCATATGGTTACTGCAACCACTGTCTACTTACCATATATCTTCACTTTTCTTAACAGTGACATTATTGCAGACATAGAACATAGTAGGAGTGTCATTGACTTGATTAACAAAGTTCACATGTTGGTTAGCCTTCTCCTTCTTGCCTCGGCAATCTCTTGCAATATGCCCCAACTTATGACAATTATGACACCTTGGCTTATCTTTGAACCAACATTCACCAAAATGCAGTTTATCACAATGTATACAAGGATTCTTAGCTCCTTCAGAAGTACCTGCAACTTTTCCAGTTTGATTTGCATATCTATTATCCCCCTTTTTAAATTTGGACTTCCAATTCTTCTGTGGTTTGAACCCTTGATTCCCATTGTACTTATTTTGTTTTGGAGCAATACTGAGACTAACAAATGCTTTCTTAGTGTGAGTTTCATCATGCCTGTCAATTCGTAGCTCATATCCCTTGAGAATAGCTACAATATCTTGAACATCAACAGTATCTAGATCCTTAGTATTTTCAATCGTAGAAGCAATACTATCAGAGGACCTAGGTAAACTTATCAGCAACTTTTGAACAATTCTCTGATTACTAATATCCTCACCATAGCTTCTCATTTGACTAATCAAATCAAATAATCTAACTAGATATGCAGAGAAAGCTTCATTTTCACCCATTCTAGTATACTCGAAATCACGACGTAAGCCTTGGAGTTTCACAGCTCGTACCTATTTATCTCCCACAAATTCTTGTTTCAGCACATTCCAAGCAGCATTTGCAGTCTCTTGGATGGCGATTCTCGGAAAGATCTGATCAGAAACTGCCCCTTGAATGATTCCAAGTGCCTTTGCATCTCTGACTATATTCTCCTTCAATAGCTTGCTCTCAGCTACAGTGAGTTCTTCATCCTTCTTTGTCGGAGCATCGAAACCCTTCTCGACGATATCCCAGAGCTCATGCGATCGGAATATTGTCTTCATCCGAATTTGCCAGAAGTCAAAGTTGTCACCATTGAATACCGGCGCACAAAGATCTGCACCACCCGATCCAGCCATATGAGACTAGATCCAAGATCACTGCGATTTCTTCTCCGAGTTCTTCAGTGAGGAAGCTTGACGGTCAGTTCGAGTTCTTCACTGCGAGCTTCACAGATTCACGCCCAGTTGTAGATGATGCAACCTGGCTCTGAGGCCATGTTAGATTATAGTGATGATTATGAATTTTTGGAAGAAAATGAGTATTTCAGAGAGAGAATTCACAGAGGAGAGTAAGCTGATTTCATTTCTTCTTCATTACTCTATTGGAATGTAACCGATTGCAAATCATACAGAGCACTATCACACTCTCTCTCTCATAACAGAAAGTGTACATCACAGCCATTCATTTCATCTATCCTATGAGATAGCTACAGCTGTCACTCTACATTGTTAACTCTCATTCAATCTAGAGCATTCATTTTGGAATGTAATCCAATGGCTCTAATTAAAACAAGTAGAATGAATTTATTTATTTCAGCTAAAACACTTAAACACTAACAGGTTTTTTTCTATAATTTTGAGGCATTTGGGTTCCATCTTAGTAATCATTGTGGTTTTTATGTTGTTCAAATATCTTTTTTTTTTCCTCTCATTGTATCAAGCTATTCAATAGATTGATATACTTTTGCTTTTTGTATCATTCTTATCATATACGGTTACACCCATGAGTTGGTATCAAGTCAGGCTGTGCACTAAATTGTTATCATTTTTGCAATGAATGTGCTTTATTACCAATGTATTGGATATACCCCAAGAGGGCTATCAAATTAAGTTATGGAATATGGATAATACCAAAGTGTTGACATCTGTGGAATCAGATGGCAATTGCCTGTGAGTAACACCCTTTTTACATTTCATAAACACCATTCAATAAATTTGAGTTAGGGTTTTGTTCAATTCAATTTCAATAGTTTGATTCTAATTTGGTGAATAAATTTTCTTTCATAGTTCATTCAATTTGTTTCATTTTCTGATTTGGATTTTGAAAGTGAGTAAAGTTTCTGTTTGTTTGCTTGCTGCAGTTATTGAACTTATGCCATTACAATATTTGTTTCCTTATGTTTTGTCTTCTGCATTATGTCTATGTAGAACTACCATTTGGATAATGTGAATGACAACTTTCATGTATATTTTTGTAGCATCTACACATGATCAGGATGTCTTTAGCTTCTATGAAGACGAGCAACATTGTAATGGATTCGAAGAAGTATTGACACGATATGGAGACATCGTTCCCCATCTTTGACTTGCAGCTCCTGCAACCTCTAGCCACCGTAAGGGTTAATCTATATCTTTTTTGTTCCTTACTGCAGGACCTACATCTTTTGCACCAACTATTAAGATGGCCATGACAAAAACAGAAACCTCACGTTCCATTTCCCTCAAAACATAAACCTCACCTTCCATTTCGAATTACATCCTTCGTTTGAACCGCTGCTCAGTTCTCTCGCAGAAACTACTAACGAGAACATCTTCTGAAAACCGCAAATTTGGTGCACATTCAAAGAAAAAAAATCTTAAACCCAGAAAAGGTTGGGTTTTTTGGTGAGTTTTTGGCCGATTTCGCGTTGGTCATTTTTTGGTTTGAATATTATGGCTTTCGAATTGTAATTGGTTTTCTGTGCAACTTTTGTTTTAGTGATTTGGGGGTTTTGTTTTCAAGAGGAGACCAGTTTGCTGGTGATGAGGATATGCAGCAGCAAAGGTGTTATGATGATGCATCTGCATTTGATAATAAATGCAAGGAAATTGACTGGTAATTAACAGTATTACCATGTATATGTCTTCAGTTGTTGTTACTGAAAGTATTTAGTTGAATTCTACTATTTATAAAAAAAACATCTAAACAATGATATGTAATCTGAGAGAAGAGATTTAATGGCATTACTATGTTTTTAGTTCGATTCAGTGATGCAAACTGTTAATTTCCTTTGCAGTTACTTTTATTTCAAGATATTGCACTCTTCTTTCAATCCTGCAACATCTCGCGGGCATTCCTTGCTAGTAGTTATATATCTTTGACTTTTAAGACTATAAACCTCCTTTTTTTAAAAAAAAAACAAAAACCCTCCTGTTTCTTTTGTCATCGTTGAATTATGTGTGTGCATGTGTGAATTAAAAATAAGGCCATCTTAAATTATGTAGCAATGCATCTTTTTTTCAACTAAGTATTAAGTTAATGTTTTGTTTATTAGGGATTGATTCAATGTATTTCTTTTCAATAATAGTAAGCTAATGTCATCTTTTTGTGTCTCTAATTATTCTTATATTTTCTATATTGACCTAGTTTAATTATAAAAGAAAAATGAGATTAACACACTACAATATATGAACCCTAGGCTTTTTATCATTATGTGCCCAACTACTTACCTAATCAATTTGCAAGGACATAATATAATAATGAAGTAAATTTCTAGTTATGTTTTTTAAAGAAAAAATGTTCACAAAAATATTTTATAAGAACGTAATATTAAACTAATTAAAAAATGTTAACATAAACAAAAATGCGCACAATAACATTTTTTTTAAGCCTAATTAGTTCTTGGACATGGTCTTCCATGCTTAAATATCTATTTTTAGACGTTCAATTTCTCCATTTATTATCCAGTACTTTTTAAATCTAGGATTTTTTTTTCGCTTAGTTATTTGATGGTTTTAAATTTATGAATACAGGTTTGTGTTTTTTTGCCCAGATACTATTTCAAAGCTGAAGGAAACATTGTTCGTGAATAGCACATTGTCTACAAAGACGACATAGAAGACAGTTTACTTCATGTGAAAAAGAAGGGTTAGTTTAGTTCTCACTAGAAAATAATCGGATGAATGAAACACATTTGAGTTGAATAAATGTAACACAATTATGAACAAACAGAGGGATACATGAGTGAATGAGGTCGATAAGATACACTTTATGCTACCTTGTGCCAAAGAGTTTATGCTACCATGCCCTCTTATGTTTAAGGAGCAATTGAAAGAAAATAGTTCATGAATGTCGCGCTTCTGCTGGCAGACTCATATCAGGATCACTACAGGTTCTGGGAAAGGATTGCCAAAAGAATGCATGCATAACTTCTCCTACAATTACCTAAATGAATGCATGCATACTTCTACAGTAAATTTGTTCACCTGAGTCACAATCCCCTTGCAAGGATTATAAAACTCAAAGCTTACTGTCCAAAACCAAATCATTTGTACCATTTACATGCTTGTGCAACATATGCCTTACACTGGAAAAACATCAAAAATCAAATACAAATTTGTAAATCATGGACGGATTTTGTTTTACATTTTTATAATCAAATCAAGTGGCAGTGTAGCACGTAAAATTACAAACTTGAAGTAACCAGAGAGCAGAAATTAAGATGTAGAGATATCCTCAAACTTGCAACATATTGTATGGAAGCTAACCGTAGAGGTTTGTGAAGCAAACTGCGGCATGAGTTGCAGTCAATTGAACAAAAACATAGTAGTTTAACTAAAAAATGCATGATGAAATGCATTCATAGTTTTCATGCATGACACAACCCTATATTATTCCGTAAGTCAATATCATTCCACAGTGAAATTATAATGCTTACTTGTCGCAGAAAGGGCAATGCCACGATGAGGGCATATGGCGAAACTTAGTAACCTGTAGCATTCATTGCACTTTGTAGCCGATATGTTTTTGCCTATCTGATGGCATCTGCCAACATAAAAAAGGCCACAAAAGGGATGCCAAGTCTACTTTGATTCTTATATCAAGCGATAAATAGAATAGATAGATGATGTTTTCCATATCAATAGCATACTAAGAAATCTGAAGGACACAACACAGTAGCTTACTAATTCAAAAGATTAAATGAACTATAAATGGACTAATGGTTAATCGAACAAATTCAATACAACTGAATCACATTCTAATTTTAAGCTAAGCACTATATTGCCAAGAAAAGTGCTCATATTGTTGTGAATGTAAAAAAAAATGAGTTAGCACTATCCACTGCTCATTTTGCTAAACAAAACGCCCAGAATCTATTCATTTCAAGTAAGTAAAAATCCAGAACAGGGAGATGGAGATATTGAATGTTGAAAAGTGATTAAATTGCCATCCTAACAATCGATTTAACTTATATACACCTATAGGTATCAAATTCGATCTTAGATAAAAATAAAGCTGCTGATGAGATAACTGATTCCTGGTGTGAGTCATCACTTCTACTTTTGTATGGCAATGATTACTTGAAGTTCTCATGCATACCAGCTCTCAATAGACTCAACAACACATGGAGGTAAGGACCAATCCAGTAATCTTGAGAAAAGGGGATCCCTGAACCCTCAAAACCCACATACATCTTTTGGCAAGGTAAGTCATATTGCCAAAGCACAAAGGAAAATAATACTAATAATAATGTATTCACACATTTAAAGAGAAATTTCGAACCTATTGTACAATGCAAGAAGGTCTGGGAGTATTGAAAAAAAATGTCTATAAGAAGTATTCAATTTTTTCTTTACTATGCTCAAATATGTGGATGTGCATTGTACTGCTATAATGATGACAATTATTTGTCAAATGCAAATGGATTTCTACCATTTTATCAGAAAATGTTAATATCAAAGGAAAGTAAGTTTGTATGGAATAACAATCGTTTAAAATTAATGACCATATTAAGAACAGAAAAGTTTCAGCAAATAATTGAATGTAATACAATAGACATAGATGAGAGGATTGAGTAATTAGGAATTCTATCGTTCATGTGAAAAAGAAAACATGCATTATAGTTGAAACAACTCTTTACCTTTTCAATTGTTATCGGTATTACATGGACTAAAAGAACAGGAGAAGTAAGATTTCATGTAGAAGATCGCTTGTATAAACTAAATCCAGTAAATTAGAGATAAATGTAATACAACAATACACGACTGGAAAAGAGAGAGTACAAAATCCAGTCTACTGCTTAAGCATGACTCTATGTAAGATTCTTTTCCCTTCCGTTAAAGTTTGAACAGACCAACATATCACATTAAGGAAAACAAATCACCTTCTCAGCGGCAAGTTGACCCTTCAATTTCTTATCTTTCAAGCCCTGAAAACACAAAATCCAAGATGCAGTGACAAATAAACATGTATAAGTTTCATGAAAACTCAAAGTTTCTAGGCCATACCTCCAAATTTGCTTCTGTTCCTCTAAGAAACTTCTTCACTCTCTTATCTAACTCATCAGAAATCTTCTCCTGCAAATTAAGGTACTGCCCATTTTATTTTCTCATTCTCTTTTTATGAAAATTATGTGCACATAAGAGCCTAAAGTTCGGCTCTCACGTTGGTGAGTTAAATAGTGCAATGTACAAAAGGTGAGAGCTTAATCCAGAGCTATTATAACTACAACAACCAACAACAACAAAGCCTTTTCCCACTAAGTGGGGTCGGCTATATGAATCCTAGAACGCCATTGCGCTCGGTTTTGTGTCATGTCCTCCGTTAGATCCAAGTACTCTAAGTCTTTTCTTAGAGTCTCTTCCAAAGTTTTCCTAGGTCTTCCTCTACCCCTTCGGCCCTGAACCTCTGTCCCGTAGTCACATCTTCGAACCGGAGCATCATTCGGCCTTCTTTGCACATGTCCAAATCACCGGAGCCGATTTTCTCTCATCTTTCCTACAATTTCGGCTACTCCTACTTTACCTCGGATATCCTCATTCCCAATCTTATCCTTTCTCGTGTGCCCACACACATCCCACGAAGCATCCTCATCTCCGCTACACCCATTTTGTGTACGTGTTGATGCTTCACCGCCCAACATTCTGTGCCATACAACATCGCTGGCCTTATTGCCGTCCTATAAAATTTTCCCTTGAGCTTCAGTGGCCTACGACGGTCACACAACACGCCGGATGCACTCTTACACTTCATCCATCCAGCTCGTATTCTATGGTTGAGATCTCCATCTAATTCTCCGTTCTCTTGCAAGATAGATCCTAGGTAGCGAAAACGGTCGCTTTTTGTGATCTTCGCTAGATTGCTCCGGTCATTAGTGTGGATAAGTATATAAATGGATAGAGATAGGAAAGCAAACACAAGATGTACGTGGTTCACCCAGATTTGGCTACGTCCACGGAATAGAAGAGTTCTCATTAATTGTGAAGGGTTTACACAAGTACATAGGTTCAAGCTCTCCTTTAGTGAGTACAAGTGAATGATTTAGTACAAATGACATTTAGGAAATATTGTGGGAGAATGATCTCGTAATCACGAAACTTCTAAGTATCGGAGTGTGGTGTCGTCTTGACTTGCCTTATCTGTCTCATAGGTAGATGTGGCATCTTCTCTGGAAGTACTCTTCCTCCATCCAGGGGTGGTATCTTTAACTGGTGGAGATGCACAAGGTAATGTATCAATTTCACTTGAAGCTTACTTGTAGTTTCAGGCTTGGTCAAGCGCGATACAAACCATGTAGTAGGAGTCCCCCAAGTCGCCGAGCTAGGGGGTCTGCTGAAAGAGGTGACAGACAAGGTAAGCAATCAGAGCTCCGACTGATTGTTCACCTTCTCCCCATCTTGCAGCAGCATGAAGGATAAAGAGAAGAAAAATGAGAAGAGATGATATGAGATACTTTTGCTTTTGAAGAAGTAACTTTCCACAGGCTTATTCTTGAACTGAGCTGGAGGGTTTTCTGGTTTCCTCCAGAGTATAAGGCCGACTGAAGAATTTGAGGGTCAAAACAAGTCCATCAAATCTAGAGTACGTTCCACCCTGCTGATATGGGATACTTTTGCTTTTGACAGAGTAATGGATGTATCGGCACGTGTGCTGTTACGCTTGTCTCCACATGCTTCCTTGTATCCTTCGCACTTGCCCTATCTGTTCCTCAAGCAGATGCGGAATCTTCCCTGGAAACATAAGATGTTGAAGATGAGTACTCGA